GAATGACAAAGTATATTTGACAGAAGACATTAGGTTTACAGATGAAGTAACTATAGTATAATATTATGTTGTCAATATCATCTGAGAGCAATTATCTGAGATTTTCAGTTTTAAGACATGCACAATAATGTTATATTATTATTTCAAGTAGGCCTTATCAAGCTACAGTGTTTATTAAAAGGAGATAAAACACTGTTTTTGACATGAAATATTTTGAAATCTAGAAAATATAAATGGTGAGGGGTTAAACAGCAGAATGAAAATGAAATTTATTTGATGAGGTCAGAAAGGTTATCTGTATTAAGATAGCTACTTGTTGCTATATCTGTTTGGTTTTAATATATCTTGAAATTGTTCATATTCTCATGGATTAGCACAATAAACAGAGGTATGATTCTTTGTTTCATTTTGGCACCATAATTCCTGTCTTTTAATTGGGATATCATGAATTATGAAATGTTTTTATGATATCAAGTCCTATTCAGATGGTATATATTTATCTGGTATATGTTTGGACATTTCTATTCTGACATCGTTATGTGACTTTCTTCATTATTTTTAGATGTGAACATCAGCTTTTAGAAGTCATTTTTAAATATGGTAAAATTCCTGTAATATCTATAATTTTGCTACCTAGTTTAAATTTAGCTGGTTATTATGTATTTGATACGAACACTGATATTTTTTCTAGAATGAAAATATGTGACTTTTTCTTCAAATTTTTAACATGAATGTTATCTTATTCTGATTGGCTAAGATAATATCAGATTTTCTGCTGCATAGTTTAAATTTTTAAAATGTAAATTATCCTTTTGTATGTTTCATAGTTTAAAATCATAGTCCTTGATATAAACTTGTTTTGATAAAATATGCCTTGAAGGGAGGGAAATTTAATCTTCTGCCAAAATATATTGTCTAGGGACTGTTTTCTATAAGAGACTATAGTCTTGCTGTTCTTTGGGACGTTGCGTAGATATGAATCGTAAAGGACAACATTTTAAATTATTTTTATAAGGGGGCAGTGATGAAAGTTATTGTAACTATATTTAGTTAATCGTGCCCAACCCAATTGTGTGATAATTTAAACTTTATATAGAAGATATCTATTCTGTAGTGTAGGTAATGAAGTAGTTTTCTTTATTCTTGTGGATTTAAGAAATCTTTGTGAGGAATTCTCAATTGTAGGTAGGTAAATGTTTAATATTGATAGTGTGGTCAGGAATTTTTTGTATTGTATCTTTGTTAAAGCAAACTGCTCTTAAATTTATACTTTTTAGAAAGTTACATTCTAATATTCTGATTGTATGATATTTCATTTTTCTGGTTTTGTTTTGTGTCTTAAGTCATTCAATATTATAAATTGAAAATAAATTAGTCTATATAATTAGTAGTTAATTTGCAACTTTTAAAAAAATACACAATTGACAACAATATTCATTTGAAAAAAGATCTTAAATCTGATGAAAATGTTGTAGATCTAATATTTTCAATAACTGGGGTATCCTAATAGCTATCAATATTGTGTTGGTATCTTGAAGATATAATAATTATCAGTGGACCATATTTTAATAATATTTGGTCATAAATAACCTCAGGCACATTCCTTTATAATTACCTTTGAACAGTTAGTGATCAGGAAAAAATATTAGAGACTATGGGGGTCAAAGATCAAAGTAATACATTGGGTTATTTTATTGGTAAAGTGTCATTTTCGACAGTCGGTCAATATTTTATAACTTGATATGATCTCTAATAAAAAAGGTCTGTTTAGTGGTTATGTACTGGAGAGTGTTTTAAGGACTTCCTTTTAAAGTTATAAACTGGTAGGTGAAAGTTTTTGGATTTGTGTGTTCAAGTTTTTAAAACAATAAGTGTCAAAATATTTTATATTACAATTTATGCTAGTTTGCATGTTTGTCATCAGTCAATTTGATTTAGTAAAGCTAGAGATGGAAAACCTCTAGATAGATATTATGTATATAATTTATTTTTCAAGAATACTAGTAGTTGTTATCATTGACATACAAATGTTTTGCACAGAAAATCATTAATCTAGTAATTTAGGGCATATAAGCTTGCGAAATGCTTGGATTATTTTAAAGGTATTCTTATCCACAATAAAGACAATAAATAAACAATTTTAGCTATGTGAACTCATAGAAAGATATGATGATTGAGTTTACAAACCCACAGAGTGGCATCAGGTATTCCATATAAAATAAGGAAATGGTCATTGTGATAGTTCAACTATTAAATGTCATTTCCTCATTGACTTGAGTACAAAATGAGACCATTTTAAATGACAGGGATGACTTACAAATTGGTGTAATTTGTCAAGAACTTCTATTCAATACAAAAGTTTTTAAGAGAAATAATACAAATTGTTTGACCTCAGAGAACATTTCAGAAATGGAGGTGTAAAAGGTCACCAATTTTTCTGACCAGTTCGTGTGAATAAATGTGGGGTTATCAGGCACTTTTAGGTAACCCTTGACAAATATAGCTTTAGTAACAGCTTTTTGTTAACCAGTACCATGTAAAAGTGGGCAATTTGGGGTGTTGTGAAATGTAGTAGTAGCTTATGTAAGCTAAGCACTGAAATCATCAGAGACATATTCAAAGTGACATCAGGTATTCTATATAAGATAAGGAAATGGATTTTGTAAATAGATTGTAATAGTCAACTATTTAAATGTCATTTCCTTATTGACTTGAGTACAAAAGGAGTACAAACTTATGCCTATTTTCAAATGTTTATTGATAGACCCCAAGTCCCCACAATTAGTCAAAATCATCAGTCGTATTTTATTCACCAGTTGTTGAGTTTTTTTCAACTAGTATGCAAGTAATTGTATAATAAAACATGTTGGAAAGTTTAAGGGTCCTAAAGAGAAGGTGTCCTTTACTGATTTTGAATCAACAGTCAAGCTTTTATCATGCATGGAATATGTAGTATTATACAATAAGTGTCATTTTGCATCATAACTGCATATCTTTGAAAGATCCTTTATTGAACAGTTAGCTGAATACATTCAAGTATGTTCTGCATAATATATGTAATATACATAAAATTATATAGTTAATAACTGAATAGCATATTGATTTATTTGCATAATAGTTGAAAAAATCAGTCATATTTTTTTCAACAAGTTGAAGTACAAATTTTTTTTTGCAACAGGGAGACACAATCAACTCATCAATTTCATCTGTGACTGATAGGGTGTATTTTAAGGTTACTAGAAATGTTGTTACCTAATATATTAAACACTCAAATTATTTCAGTTCCATAGTTTACAAAGGATATAGAAATTGTCTGAAAAATATTGTAGATTTGAGGATATCAGTGACTATGATCAGATAATTATGAAGTAATCTAAGTTAATGATAAAATAATAAGCTATAGTAATCAGGATAGTTATAGCCTAAAGGTCTGTATTATTATTGACCTGTATGGTGTAATGTAGGGATAGCCCCTTGGCATGTTTACCTGTCATATTATACTTTAATATTTGTATAATAATGAAAGCAAAAATACAAAACTTAGGAACAATCACCAAACCAATATGACAAAATCTTGCAAAACTGTTCTAATTGTGCCATTTGGTCTTATTCTGGCAGACCAGTTGCATGCACATAGAGTATACACACTCCCCATTCAGTGCAATGCATCCAGCAAGGTGGCGTCTGTTAGCAACTAAATGTTGTATGTTGGTGAGGAAATTATATCATTGAATTACAATGACCAATATGGTGTTTCTGAGATACATTACTATCAAATAATCACAAGGAAAATGGCTTTGATACTTCCCTCCCTATTAATGATTTAAACAGAGTAAAAGGGTCAAGAGGAAGTTTGGGTTCTTTTTCCACATATGGTTACCTTTAAAAATACATTTTCAGGATTTGATATGCCTGTGAATTTTACCTACCATGAAGTTTGTGGTCTGTTAAGTGAAGTTCACTATTGGTTTATTGAGAAAATTTAGTACATTAACATCCTGTTGCCTCTCTGTTAAATCTACATAGCATTCATATCTAAACAAATGAAATGGCTACTGAAATGCACAATGACAGAACAAGATTTTGGAAACTATATTTTTATGCAGTCTGAAATCTGAGTTTATAGAAAATAACTAACTTTACTTTAAACACACACAGTTTTTAAAGTTTTATCAAATCATGTGTTTCCGATTATTTTTGTTCAAGGATACATATCAGAGTTTAAACAAGCAAAATTGATGGATCCTGACCAAATTACAAACTAGTGGGAGAGAAAGTTATCCCACCTTCCCTCAAAATATAAAAAAGTAAGCTTATATAAAAGGTTTGATACTCTTGAAAACTGGACAACATGTATAGCTGCAAATAGCTACATGCTTATAAGTTTGATTGTCCAAAAGACACAAGTTCAATGAATGATCTCTGCTGGTTTCTTTACATTGTTTTGAATTTGTAAAGTTTTCAGTTAATTCCAGGTGTATTCGGCTTCCTGCTGATATATGAGTTCATCCAAACTATAAATCACCCGTTTACTGGTATGACAAATATTGTATAGAGTAGACGTCAATATCATATAGCTTATTGTCATTATGACAGCCAGTCAAACAGGTTTCCTTAATCTGGAGAAAAATTCCTTCATCATATACCTATTAATCCAATTGTTAGAGAGGGTATATTAGGGATTGTTATACTCATGTCTACTGGCTCAGTCAGCTGTAATAATAGGCTTAATCTTTATTAGAGTATTATTTGAAATACTGGGTTTGAATAATATCCATTAGGAATTTACACAGGTCTGTATTGTGGGGGTGTTGAAAGTGAGGCTGGGTTTGTCAACTCAGCAACTCATACAGAGAGTCCACATTACATATTTTGTTATTTTAGAATTTAATTGATTCTGTAGGAAGTGCCTACATATTTTAAGCATACATAGATCTGAATGTTTTGTATGAAAGACTGATAGTGATCAGGCAAAATCATTTGATCTGTCTCTTTAAATAATGAATACTCCAGTAAGTGGTTAGGTAGGTTATCAACAAACTATGAATAATAAATGCACTGGTAATATATTACAATATAAGTTCACATATAAGAAAACAGTAAACAGGCAATATTGTCATATATCAATATCTGGAATGTCTTTTGTCACTTTTATATAGCACAAATATGTCTTTATTATCACCCTTTAAAGCTAGCTGAAATTTGTCTTATTTTTATCCTCATATTAGTCAATAAGGATTACTTTGGTCATGACTATAGGCGCAACGTTACAGAACTCACTGAACATATCTTAAAGTAAGAAATGTTTACTCCTGTGGTATATTGTCTTATTTCGTTCATAGTTGTGATTGTACATTGTTATTAAGTATTTATCATCACAACTGTAAGTTCAGGAGATGTGCAGATATTACCACATTAGTAAATAAATAATGCTCTGGATGCGACCATAATCCAAACATTCAAGAAACACTTTTATTTAATTGTAAAAGAACAGGAAGTTTGATTCTGATAATTATTACAGATAACTGTAGTTACTGGCAAATTAAATATTTTGATGAGTATATCCATTAATTGATGAATTATATTAATTATATATGAAGATAAGTAAGAATATATAAGTATTGAAGCCTGTGTGAGAAAGTTGTTGTCAGGGTTTGTATGACAATGAGATATTTAGACTGGTTAATGTTGTGAATATTGTCGTATTTTACATGGTAACGATGTGGACAAACACAAGACTTGAAACTTGTTTGATACCTAATCCCTCTACCAGACATTCTTCAAGTATTTAACATACTTCTCTGGACATGCTGAATTCTTAGGCCACATCAAGAAAAAAAAATCAGAATTGGTTGGACTGTCCATGGGTTTTGTATACTTTCCCTTAAAAAAGGTTCTGTCCAGTAGCAATCCAGACTACACAGTCTCCGGTCATGCAGTTTTACGGACTAATTTAAGATTCTTACTAACAAAAGTCAAAAGAGCCAACTGCAGAGAAAAATAAGGAATTCAGAATAATTTAAATGAAGATGTAACATATTTTGGATCAACCTCTGATCATATAATAAAATGATGATGTCAGGTGTCAAGGAAAGAGCTAGTCTCCCTCTCTGATGGTCAAATAAACATTTCCTTCTCAAACTTACATTGGCCTGAAAGTTTGTATTTCTTAACACATATACCACATAACTACATCTTTCTTTACCCCCAAAAAACAAGACAAGCATTGTTATAGAAAATATCTGAACAATGTCAAGGGGAAGGAACATTATATATAATTATACACTACACATATGTATATTTTGTCCTGTGTATAAAGCTGGTAGTTTTTATACCCTGTGTCTATTGGAGCATACAACAATTTGACAATATCTCATGGCAAAACCCAGCAATTAAGAGCTGAACTTATACCAATCTCTCTTTGGTCAATTACAAGTAAGGTATTTAAATTGAATTCATGTTTTATTTGACTAACCCTATATAAGTAGTGACCCAAAATGACAGTAGAAATACTTTGTCAATAATCTGATTAAATCTCAGGCTGTTGGGGTTAATAGCTGATGACTAGTAAGGTATAAGGAGTAGATCACTGACTAGTAAGGAGTATTATCTAGAAGTTACCTGTACTTGAGGAATTATTCACCCAAGTAAAGCTAGGAGTTGATAACTTCAGGTATTTTCTAATGATTATTATTAAGTTCTGTTGATTTCATTAAAGTTTTGATCTGTATCATTTTTAAACATGATATGGTAGTCATCTATTTTGAGTTAAAATAAAACCCTTTTTTGCTTGTTGTGTGTGTTTTCTCCTTGGAATTTGTTGTGACTTTTCAAACAGTACAACCATTTTTATCAGCAGGATTTGTCAAGGATCTGCTAACTTTTATGTACATGTATATATATTTATCATTTGGCTATATTTTTTCATATGAAAATTCAATAATGGATGAGATTGCTTGCTAGCATTTGGATAACCTATGTACAGAACTTTTACAGGGTAGCTACTTTTAGCAATTTAAAGAAAGCCAGTTATAGTTAATATACTGTAACTAGTTTGATGTGATAGTAAACTGTCACTAGAGTGTCAAAACCTGACAATAAAACACAGACTAAGAATAGAAGATTCTGACAGTTTGAATAATTAATGAATATGAATAATACAGTCTAAAAAATATTGTTTAATTTTATGTCTTTATGTTGGTGTGACACATGATAACTACAATAGGTGTCCTCATTTATTACCTAGTGTCTTGTTATTTATTTGGTGTTCAGATTTCTTTTCACACTGGATGAGAAATTTAATAGGGCTATTAGAATTTTGTATTGATTAAGCACAAGCTGGTAGAAGTTACCAAAGTAAAAATATTTGCAAATTCTGTTTTAGGAATTAAACGTGTCACTTGTTGTAAATATTGAAAGTTATTCTTACAAAAGTTTTCATATTTTTATATTAAGATTGTTTCTTCAAACTTGGTGTTGCCTCTTTAAATTGGAGTTTTTCTTATTGTACATTATTGTGTTATTAGTCTTGCTAATGTTCTAAGATTTTACACATGAATTATTTCCCCCTACTTAATATCTTTATCTATATTTTCAGATTAAAAGGCTGCTACCAAGTGGAGTGTGTGCACGAGATCAAAAACTTCAAATTGGTGATCGACTTGTTTCATGTAATGGTCAGTCATTGAAAGGAGTGACACAAAATGAATGTTTGAATATTTTAAAATCAGCAGGAAATGACCTCAAGTTAACTGTGCTAAGCTCGGATAATCTTGCGCATTTAGGAATGGATTCTAACACAGACAGTGATACTGAATCAGTGAATAATAATTTTTATAAAAATGGTTTTGAAGATGTTCAACATTCAGAGCATGGTTTATCTGCGTCCAAAACAAATGCCAATGTGTTATTTGCCCAACAGAATGTGAAATTGGCTTATACACCACCTTATATTCCTCATCAAGTTCCTTCAGATTCTGAATCAAGTGTAGCTTCCACTCCGAGTAAAGAAACCCAATCTGTGATAAGTGAAGTGGATCAACATATTTTAGATCTAACTGGTCTAGAAACATCACAACTTAACGGTATGGAATCCTCTGCTGAACATAATTTGATGAGTGACAATAACTCTCTTCTGGAATCCATTCCACCACCAGTGGAATTTTCGGATAATCCAATTTCGCCAGAAGAAAGTGAAACTAGCACTTTAACTGACCGAAGTGACACAAGTCTCCCTGTAACAAACTTAGATGATTTATTAGGAAACAATAGTACCGCCACAAATATGCCTATTCGCACAACAAGTACACCGATTCATAATGCTTCTTCAATGATTTTGAATAGTTTTCCTGAACATGATGAACTTTTGACAGTGGTGAGCACTTCAAATAATGTGGTTCAAAGTGATGCCAGTGATAAATTTAGGGAGAAAATACCTTATACTGATATTGATAATGTCCAAACTTCTTCAGCTCAAAATTCTAAAACATCTTCAAATAACATTTTAGAATTTGATACAAAAGTGTCGAATGTGATTGAAGGTGGACAGGCAACCACTTTATTTGATATTGGTGTCAAATCGGTTAGCGATGCTGGACATGTTTCTCAAACATCAAACATTGACGATTTACTTTTTCTTGATCAAACAAACATACAACAGTCAAGTTCAAATTCCAGTGTTGAAATTAATAATGAGGCTGTAAGTCAGGAGCAAAATGTATCACCACAAGTCAATGTGTTAAATAGTGAACAAACAAACGAGAAAACATCAAAAAGTACGGATAATGTTACAACTGTTCAAGTTGGACTTATCTCCCTTGATCCAAATGGTGTCGTTGATGAAGGGTTAGTGACTAAAGTCCCAATTATCGACCTTGATAACCCTAAACACGGCCCCCAAATAGAAAATCAGGTGACTCAAGTTGTTGTGAATGAAAGACCAAAAATAACAAAAGTTGATGTCGGCTATGACAAATCAAATTCATCTCATAGACATGAAAATGAGCCTCAAATTCCTGGAGCTACTGTTTTTAGTGTTGATGATGATGTTAAGGAATCTAATACCGCCAGGATAACTATTGATAACCCCACCCCACCTGTTCCTACCCCTAGATTGTCACCTCAAGTAGTTCCCAGAAAACATCTTACTAGATCAGAGGGCAGTGATTCACATGAAAAACAGAGAGTTCCATCCTCACCTACACCCTTGCCGAGAAAAACACATGCACACAGTGTGGTACAGACACATTTTCAAGAATCACACCAAGAGCCATCTTTGACTTTAAATACTGCCAAATTAGTTGAAGCTGCCAAACCCAGTGCTACCATAGTGGTCTGTAATTCTGACCAAGACATCACGAAATCTGGTAATAATATTGAGACAGACGTCAACCAATCTGTGAAAACTATCACAGAATCAAAACCAACTTTGATTCATGATTCAGAAAAGGACCAAGTTGAATCATCTAAAAGTATAATAGACACTTCTCAAAAATCTCAAAACTCTACAATAACTGTCAAAACTCCTCGTCTGAAATCTTCGAAAGAAGAAAGAAGTGATAGAAGTGGCAAGGTAATGGTGACTACATGTCAGACATCTGATATCAGATTATTCAGGCCTGTTGAAGAAGAAGAAAGTATTCAACCAATGACTTTTGTTCAAGATGAATTGGGAAATCGTAACTGTGTGCCTACTCCGCCCAACACTCCTAAACGCCAACCAAAAAAGAAGGATGAGGGTGCGAAGAAGGAATTGACAGATATACTGATGAATCTTGTAAACTTGGAATCTACTTCAGACAATGATGGTCAACCTGAATCCACTGTCATTGAAGAAGGGTTAATTGAACCACAGAAAGTTTCCAGACAAACAATGGAGACAGTTCTGGGAGCTTTTTCAGGTTTGATTCCGAGCTTGGACAAACCTCAAAAGAAGTCAATTTTCCAGAAAGCTGTATCAGAGGTGATAGATGACATAGATGATGACAATAACAATGTTCCAAAAGATCAAAGGAGAAAATCAGACAGTTATGATACAGATGAGACAGACAGCCTGGCTAAAACTAAGAAAGCATCTGAAAACTCAAAACCTGTGAAAGAAATACCATCTGTTCTTCACTCTGGTTTTGCTTCAATTTCTGAAGCACTTCAATCAAAATCAAACGATTCTGCAACATATAGTGAAAATCTCAAAGAAAAGGATCGAAGTATGTCAAATAAACCCAATGCTTTTAAATTGTCTGACTCCTCTAGTGTCAGTGTATCTCAAAATGTCAGAGAAAAACCAAAAGATATTGAATCTAGAAATAAACCTAAAGAATCAACACAAAAAAATCGACAACAAGATACTGCTCCAAATTCTGAAAAAGCTGTTCCAAAACCAAGTTTGATTTCTGCCACAGCTCCAAAGAAAATTTCACCGACACCACACATCACCACTATCAGAACTCAACCATTTTCATCTTTTAAGTCTGGTTTAACGTCATTCTCTACAAATAAAGCCAGTAAAGCTGATTATCCTAAAAGACGTTGTGAAGACCAACCATTTCAAGTTGATGTATTGAAGGGTATTGCTGGTTTAGGTATTAAGTTGGCTGTAGGAAATGACGGATTGGTTAAAGTAACAAACATACAAACCAGTGGACCAGTTGCTAAGAATGGACAAGTCAAGTAAGTTGACATTTTTTTCTCTTTCAACATTTTTTAACATATTGACACATATTTACAGATATTATTTTCAACACAATTTGATTAGGGATTAGAATAGGCTAACTTTTTTTTTTCTTAATAATTTCATTGTATAGAATTTTTAAAGTACAATATTACACTGTAAGCTTATGCCTTGAGATATTTCTGAAAAATGTTTTGTATGTTTTTTAAAAATCCCCAAAAATTGACTAGTTTCATTAAAAAATCACAGATGAAACAGACAAATCAAGAGTCTAGCTAATAATTTATATTATATCATACACAATTTCAATCCATCAAAACATAAACACATATAAACACCTACAAATTTACAAAATCTTTGTCAAAATGTCTCTGTCAAAATTTATTTTTTAAAGGGACAGGTTTTGATCAGGTTTATTTGAATTCTAAAAATATTTTTGTTAAAAGACATTTTTAACATTCTCACATGATACAACAAAAACATGTTTAGTATATAGAAGATATATAATATGTATTCAACTGTGCTATAATATAGCTATGTCACTATAAGCTATTTATTTTTAGATGTACTAATGTGTTTCTACATAATTTATAAGTTTTCAATATAAAATGCACTGTGTCAATATCATATTGAAAATCAAACTGCTGACAAAGAACAAATGCTGCATGGAGTTAAATCAGGTGAAAGCAAGATCAAACAAAAAAAACATCTGCTGCAAGGGCAACATAGGAATACATATAAATCAACAAGCATGTTCTCAAAAATCTAAATTTCTGATATCTATTTAACTTCAAGAAATCAATCAAAATATATAGTTTTGAAGGTTTATGAAAGTCATAAAGTAGTGATATTTAGAAAGTTAATATTTGTGTTAAGGAAATTGTAGACTGATCTCAGATAATTGATATATTGATCTGTATTATTGATTTACAGATTCAATATACCTGTAGCTTATAGCCAATATCTGTGTGCATTGTTAGTAAAAACTCTTTTGATTTGTGTCCAGAATTTGTCAATCCATTCTCAAAGTCAATGTTTAAGATGTATACCCAATTTGACAAGACAAGTTGAAAATGACAATCTTTTCTTAGAAAGAGGTTCTGGTAGCAATTACCAAATTTAAATTGGTTTATAGAATTATATTTGAAGGACATTTTAATACATATGACAACATATAGCCAGTTCAAGAAGTCGTTGAATTTATGCCAAAGGAATAAAATTACTTTTTTTAAAACCTGGAGTATTTTAATGAGGTTTCCGTGTGTACAGTTGAAGTGTGTTTCTTGTGTTAAAAGTAAACGATTTTGTTGATATATCTAACATTCATACCTCTGCTTGGTTTAAAGAGAGTTTGTAGCCAGAGAGTGATTTCTCCTGTTTTTTCTTCCATGTTCTATTTAAATGACAAACAGCAATATTCATGAGATATTTTTCTGAAAGTATGACCCATTGTCTTATTTCCATATTTTGCACTCCAGGGTTTGATTGTTGGCTGCCTGACTTTATAGTTTCCACAATTTGAAATAAAATCAATTCAGCACATAGTTTGTATAAAAGTTAAAATAGTCTGTACTGTGGTTAAATTGTCACGACTTGAAATAATGACAAAATAAGCAGCCATTTGTATCAGGTTTACCATTTAATCAGAAAAATCCATTACAATGGTAAACTATATGCCTTTAAGATTGTGTCTGAATTAGACTGTCTTTGAAGAAGTAATTAGTGTCAGACTGTCCTGAAAGTCTCCATTGATGTCAGACTGTCCTGTTATACACTGATGACGTGAGTTGAAATTTATATGCCATGTTAGAGTAGCAAGATAAAGTTAATTGTGGTCCGATATTATGAAAGGATTATCTGGAAACATTATCTTTTAACTTTTGTTGAAAATGTTAAAGTAGTGTGTCTCAGAATGGATGTACCAATTGAACAATGTTATTTATGTTGTCATTCCAAGTAGCAGAGTGGTATGAGGTGTACTTAACAGTGAACATATTATCTTCTTTCATTCAGAACATTTGCTTGTCTTATATTTTGAAGTTTGTCTCTCAAAAACATTATTGTGATCAGAAAGTCTATCAAATGTATAAAGGGAATACATATGAAATTTTAATACATTACTTGCTTTTTTCACCTTTTTAGTACTGACTAAGTACTTTGTGTGGTGAGACTGTCTCTTTAAAGTTAATGAATTAAGAATGTGAGGGTTAATCAAAGTGAACTAGAAGTTACATCTGTTCAGGTTCTTTGTTCTCTGGTAATTTGATCAGAGAGACCCTACTACTGATGTCTGGTTAAATTAAAAACAGCTCATATAGTATAATATTACCTTCACACTACTCATTGGAATTTCTTAAGAATCATCTGATCTGTGAACTGTGTTAATAGGTGAGAGAAATTCTTACATTTGAGGTTGAATTTGCACTTTAGTGTGTGTGTGTGTTGAATTCTGGATATATTTTTTGCTTTGAACTAGTTTTTTTTAAGTAATTTGATAATTATTGGATAAATTGTGTTCATACTTGATGATTTTGGGATTTGTTAGTACATGTATTTTAATACACGTGTTTTATACAAAATTACATCACATAATATTACAGTTTATATTCATTATGTATTAGGACTTCACTAGTTTTTAATTAACAGGTAAAAATAACATTCAATTATCTCAGTTTTAGATATTCCAATATTATTTAATTACATTATTTGATAATTTATGATCATTAGTTAAATTTGTGATTAACAAAGAGCAAGTTGCATTTGATATGACTTTTGTGGTTTAAGGTGAAATCAAGAAATCTGAAATTTCAATTATCATATTTCAATGACTAAAGAGAAAAATGCAGTAAAGTAGCAGATTTATGATCAGCTGTGTGGAGAAATTATGAATGAACAGCCTAGCAGATAAAAATCAATACTTCATTGTTAGGCATTTATCATTCACTTCACTGGCTCTTTGTCTAGCAGAAGGAATATTTTCTAGTTTGGCATCCAGCATGTGTTCCTTCATTCACTATGTTCTAGTTTAAATTAACAGTAAAAAGTCTGAGTCATTCTGTAAAGCTAGTGTTTAGTAGGTGAGGTGGATATCTAATTAAAGGTATGATAATAATTTCTATTTCTTTGTTTAATGAATAGATAACAAGCTAAATTGTCATATTATTTTGTTGATAAGTTATTGCACTGTTAATGATACTTTATACAACAAAAGAGGGAGGTATATAGACATAGAATTATGGTTATGAGGATTTTGGATTAGTTTTTGTGTAGTTCTTTGTCTGTGGATTCATGAAATTTATAATCTTAATAAATTTATTATACTTTGAGTAAGGTAGGTGTTATGAGCTTCAAGAAAATTAACAAAACAAGTGTTATATTTCAAATCACTGGATATTATCATTAAAATGTCTGTTAATTTTCTTATTCTAATAGGAATTTCAATTTGATTGTTTTGACATATCTTTATCACTAGATTCTGAGTTTAAAATACTGTAGATTTTCTATTTTAAGTTCTTATAACTTGTCTGTTTAAATTTGATTCAAGCATGAACTGCAATACCTAGGTCTACATGCTAGTACAGCAGGTGTGCTGAGGAGTGCCTAGAAGTGCTTAAACTTTTCTTTGATGTTTAAAACATAAGCCCTTTTAAGCAAGTGCAGGATAGACCAAGTAGATATACAACAATCCTGTTTTTCCTTTCAAACTGCACATTAACTCATACCAGATTCATTCAATGTGAAATAAATTAACTTTTTTATCTTCTTTTCTAAATATATTATAACATTTAAACCAGATAGCCCATTTTAATGTAATATAAACGTTTATCTTAACTGAGAAACCTAGTTGAGTCAATGCCAGTATATCAGTTATAAAATAGAGGGTGGGCATCATAAACTACTGACCAGTTCCATAGCATACATGATTCTAAAAATAACTTGCAGGCTTTCTCATGATGACTAATCTTTTACTAATGTTATTACTAGACATTACCAGGATTGGTGGAACCAAGAACTAATAACTAATGGTATATCATTTCATGGTCTATAAAGTTGATATTTGTATTACAAATTATATTATTAAAGGGTACTTATAGCTTCTGTTTGCCCTATTCCAGTATTGAGTTTGACAAAAATTGATTCTGTAAGAAAAACTGTACTAAATATGACGACACTATATAAAGAAAAAAATCAAATTGCATTTGTGACAGTGATGTAATAATGAATCATGAATTTATTCAGACCACAAAAGTCTAATTGTAAATGGAATTGGTACAAATATATGTACCAAAAACACATAAAAGACTGGAAAATCTCTTCAAATGTTAATATTGACTAGTGTCTATCTATAAATTTACGACCAGATCTGAGCTGTGGTATAGTTTAATTCGTAATGAATTGGATTGTTATTTTAGTTCTGAACTGGCAAATTCTGATACCATATAGCCAGTGTCAACACTCCAACCCTTATACCTACACATCATCCCTATTCAAAACCAGAAAGCATCAAGTGGCATTCTTCTGTTTCACTATGAATAATAATTCTCATAAATATTGAAATAGTCCTTTAAAAATGTAACTTCGCAGCCTTCATTGAGACCTAGGTCATCTTTGACTTAAGGCCATTTGAATCAAACAGGCCGTAACAGACAAATATTTTGATTATTTGAGCCAGAGTTTGGTGAAAGGTTTCTATCTTTTGATATGATATGAAACTTGAGATGTAGGTTTTGTATGAAAATCATTATCTATTGAAACCTTGCTAGCCTTGAATGTATTTATTATAGTATATGTATACATAATAGTGTAGAACATCTTGGATTTTGAAAGGTTGTTTCTCATTTTGAAAATTTTTTGTTTTTACATACTGTTGGTGAATAGGATATTTTTAATGTTTCCTGTTAAAAATTAAACAGTTCTTATATCAGGATAGCTTACACAAGTATATAGTATGTCATTCTCAAATAATAACATTGAAGTTTTATTTCTTTTCTGAAGAAATGATT